GAGAATGTGAATATCTTTGTCTGGAATTAAAGTAAGATGACGGGGATTTAGCAGCGTTACAATGTGAACGGGATAGAAATGTCAGCTGCCTTGATTTGCTGTGAAGATAGTGAGTTATTAGATCCAAGATAGGTCATAGGAACGACGACTATGAGCTGTTGCACTGCTCTAGTCTTTTCAAAATCAAGTGCTAAAGTGGCAACAATAGCGTTGTTCTAAGTGAGCGCGAGACATTTGTGTAGTTCAGCATTCTCTTCTGCATACTTGTGTCGAGCAAACGGGATGCGACAAAGGGCAACGGTCTTATGTGGTGGATGATCACATTCGCCATGACACCATTTTTCAAAGAGAAATATGATGCTTTGTTCGGAAAACCCTATGCCAGTGCCAAATTTCGCACATCGTCGAATCCTGTCGCTTATCGTTCGGCACCGACCAATCAGTGAACCGGAGCCCACCGAGTCCATGGCTAGCCGTGAATCGCTTCAAGCTGTTCTTGGTGGCATACATCTTGACCTTTTCGATTAGTATACTGGAAGAGTGATCAAAAAGTATTTCTGTACCCGACTTGCACCCGTAATCGGATTCTAATCCGATTTTGGCTACTCATGAGTACCGTAAGCTGGAAATCAGAAAAACATAATCCAGAATTGAACTGACCTTCCCCGAGAATACCCACTGATTTTATTTGTATCCAGTATTTTGGTATAAATACCGTGTCACAGTGCTGAAGAACATAGATGGAGCGCTTGAAAATGTAAGCGGAATTGTAAATGCTTCTTACTCTTCACAGGTACATTGGAAAAGTAATGAAGAAATAAATGGTTTAACTTTGGCTTTCATAAACACCAACGTAGTCTGTATGGAAGTTTGCCAAGTAATGAAACTCAGGTTACAGTAATAATTCACAGACATCAACATCTGTAAAACCCTGTGGAATTATATATATAAAATCATATCCATACCACGATCAATTGGGGATTTTGGTAACGCAGACTGTATTTAATGGAGCCGAATTAATTCACGTTGCTTGCCACCTGGGGATTTCGAAATGCGCGCATTCCCAGAAACTACTACTGATCTACCTGAGCAATGGATTTCCTGAAATCGCACCAATCGCGATCCGCTCGTTTAAATCGCACGGAGATCGCACATTGCATAGTGAAAATTCTTACTTTATTTCGGTTTTGTTGAACTTTATATATCCGACGTGTATGAACGCGACACAGATTGATTCGGGCCGGACAAACGAGTTCAGCTTGAGAAGAGCTGTTCCACTAGAGTAAAGAAGCATAAAATCCTCGACTTGGCAAAAGACTGCGAATAGTATTCTTAGAAGAAATACATGCAATTATTCAGTATAATCCCGTACAGATAATCATTAAAAAAACAGATATCAGTATCGGTTATAAATCCGGTTTTAATTACATTATTCCGTTTTAGACATACACACACACACACGCATGCAAACACTTGTAGGATTAACTCCCATAATCAGACGCATCGTTATTCGAAATGTGAATAAACAAAGCGTTTCGATGGTGTTGAGTGATATGTCTACTGCCAGTCCAGCTCAGTACTTTATTCGCACCGGTATTTTACAACTACTATCTGTCATTCGGTGACTTCATTTTCATAGGCGGAGTTGTTACTCACCCGGAGAGATGCAACGACTGGTCCTCGCTGCGGTGTGCTACAAAAATCCTCAAATCGTGTTTTTGGATGAATCGACCAGTCAGTTGAGTGAGACAGACGAGGCACGAGCGTATCAGAGCCTGGTGCAGCGAGGAATCACGTCGGTTAGTGTGGGTCACCGACCCTCGATTCGTGCATATCACAGACGAGAACTCCAGATAACCCCGCTCAGTGTAGCGGATAATGAACTGGACAAAACTGTGAACAAAAGTCCTAATTGGAGCATTGTTCCAATCACAATCTGATCCCAAGTTGACCGGAACTGAATTTATGCAAACATGTTTTCTGTCACATATTATTCTCTCTCTGTTCTATCCATTCTCAGTGGCTAAACCTAATTCCTATTGTGCTCACCTCGATATCTTGTTACATGTTACATGGTATTTTTCTAACATATTTTTATTTGTTGGCAATATTCTCCAAATTCATACCAATGAAAAATGAAGTATTTTAAGTTACATTTCAATTATCGCGTATCATTAGTTGAGACCGAGAAAATTCCGGCTGACTACGAGCCTATTTTCGTATATTTTAGGGGATTTCGGTTGGTTCGCCATAGTTTGCGCGTAGCGAGAGCCCCGCAGCTCGAATGATATTCTTTTTATTACGAGTAACTTATTTTGTTTCTGTTAGGATCAATCTATTTATACTCTTAAAGGGATACCCATGGCCCACGCTAATGCTTCCAGTCCGACGGAATCGAAAAAAATCGCATTGGATATCTGACGGAAAACCTTGAAGTCCTAACTTTCGGTTGGTGTTAACAGATTGTCATTTGTCATTTCTCACTTCCTTCCGGTTGGGATAAATAAACTGACTGGCTATCACTGAAGATAACACCTGAACGAACATGATTTGGCAACTCGGTTCAATCGTAGTGTGAGCTACTTGGTAACACACATGCCTCCCATGCGATGGGTCCGAAGTTCCAATCCTGGACGAGACGGTGGATATTGCACTACTGATGAGCTCTAATACGAGCGAAACTCAAATCTAGTGCTTCCGAGTCTATGGTTGAGTCTATGAACTAAGTATTGTGAGTGAAGATGAAGTGCGAAGAATAGTCAGTTCAGATCAATATACATTACCACAAATCACTACTCACAAGTAACTGTGATATAAATGCTAACGGTTAAAATGTTTGTGACGATACAAGTGAAGGCTAGGTAACCAGAAACTGGTGGGTTAATTGGACACCAAGCCGCTCATGAGTTTCGAATACACACAACCAAAGTGTACTTACTGATGGGTACAACATACGAGAATGGAGGGTAGCAGTCACAGGATAAAGTGCGATTGTAACAGTTTGACAAACAAAGAAAGAAATACGGACACCGTCGATTAACAGGAAGTGAGCTTTTTCGATCTGGATGACACCTGATAATAATGGCAAATGCACAGATGGGAATGTGGTTTAGGGTGGAAGACAGTTTAGAAACTGCCTTAACTGTAAGACTGCGGCCAAAAGCCGGCAACCTGCCGAAAGGATTATTTTTGAAAACCACAGATAACGAGAGTTGCCTCCAATTCAATAGATTGCGTCTATTGCTTTTCAGTGTTGTGTGAAAGCAGACCGAGTACGCAATATAAAACGACTAATCTTCAGCTTAAGTAAAATCAATAATATATTCTCCACATGATTCATAATTTACCCTCGGTTGATTTGTGTCCAGTGATTACTCATCCTCCTTTTTCAACCTCAAGTTAACCCCTTGTAAATTCAAGCGAATCAGTTGTAAGTAAATCCTATCAATCGCATTCCATTGGGAACCGCCATAACATGATTGTTGTTTCGGCGGTCAAACGTCACCAATTGGATCGGGTCTGTCGAAACCCCATCTAGTCCAAATCAACTAATTTCTTCGTAAACAAACGTAAGTACTTGTTGAGCGAGCTACCGAGCAAGGAGGACGGTTTCGACTGGGTGAATTCTGACCGCTCGCCAGTCCTGTTCCCGCTCGACCGAGAACCCTTATGCACGTCACCGTTGATCGCATGAACTTCATAGACCGGAATGGACTAATCCAACGATGATTTCCCTCGATCAGTCTTATAGAGAAACACGTGTGCCGTGACAAATTGGACCAATTATGCGATGTTGTCATGAGCTGTTACATCATACGACACAGTGATTGGAATTCCATTAAGACTAGGTTTCCTTAGAACTTTATCACTCTCGGGGAAGGAATGCATTTGCCTTGTTTGCAGCATTCAAAGGCACAAAAGCTGAACAGTGACTGTGTGGAATAAGAAGTTGGAAATCGAAGTGATTAAGTCTATCTACTTGGTTGCCGAATAACATAAATTAGATTTTCTCCGGTGAATCCCGGACCGATCACTATATTTCGTCTACAAGGCGAATGGCAAACGCTCTGATACCTAGTGGCATAAAATCACTGTCAGCATAACTAATCCGGCCATGTCGTCAGTGATTACCCGATAGGAAGCCGATGGAATGATTATTGCAGTTCGTTTTTACCCTCGAATCACTCGCCACACAGATCATAGAGATGACTCCTTCTTCGTTCGCAGTGTAAATAAAAACCCAACTTTTGGTCATTATTTTAACTAAACTGGAATCGACTCCAGTGGTTGATAGTTTGCACCAGAACGAGTAGTCAAGAGTCGAACTGTGCGACCCAGTCTTCTGGTTTTACCGGATTGCTTGGCTGAAACCCTGCAAGAACTACCCCCTGCTGAATTGCCCTAAATCGCCAAGTATCCTGGAAAACATTATCTACCGAGGGTTTGTTTCTCCATGTAATTATCCACAAACATAAATTGGTGAACCAGCATACAGCAATTGTGAATATGCTCGAAATTCCATGAAATTTCTTAAATACCTAGCCTCTCGACTGAAGCAACGTTAGATCATCCTGCGTATGTCCCAATCACAAAAACGTTCAACGATTAAAACAAAGAACTAACAGTCAATAATATTATTAATCGAGCATTTGATAGTCGGCTGATAATATGCTGACAGTGATCCGACGTGATGTGAGATTTGGCATCGTCAACAATGCATTCTTAAAATGCCATTTGCCAACTCTGTTGGTTCAATCGTCCTTTGGGATCACCCAGCACGATCTTAGCATTTTGATTTCGGAGTTCCGTTTTGATCTATTTTTCGTGATGTTCTGTATCACACTGTATCAGATTCAACAAGGCGGAATATGGAAAAGTTTGAAAATATTCACTGTTCGTCCGGCAACCACGCTTTCCAGTTTTGAGCGACAAGGCGAATTGTTACACCTACGATTTGTACAGACACAGGACGGAGTTGTAGGATCCTCTTTTCAGAGTATAGTTGAACAACAACACATCAGCATTCATAGCACTTATGATGTGCAGATTTCTGCCCCCTTTAATTTACAATTGGTATTTGACACCGTGGACCACTTGACGCACCCCCCGAAATTTCTTGAACAATGTAGATGGAAGTTGGTTTCATTAATCCTTATCATCTCATATTCAGTATCCTAATGGTCTCTGCGTGTTATACAAGATGATTCTCTAAGACCTAAACAAACTGTTGAAAAGAAATTTCAGCTGCAGTTCATTTGCCCTTGTATTTGATTAAACTGGGACAAATGGCAATGGGTGATCGCAACTCACAAACCCGTTCACTCGCTGCTTGAATCATCGGTGTATCTGGTGCGGGGATCTGACCATTCTGTTTCGGTTTTCGTTAAGAACAGTAAGAACAGTCCGGATGTCAAATCCTGGACGGGATATGCACTACTGATGGGCTCTAATAAGAGCGAAACTCGAGTCTAGGGCTTCCGGGTGTATGATTGGATCGATGAACTGAGGATTGTGCGTGAAGATGAAGTCCGAAGGATAGTCAGTCAAATCCATCAATATCAATTGTCTCACATCACTATTCAAAGTAACTGAGTTAAATACGAACATGAACAAATTTTTTTGGAA